TGGCACTATACGTCTACGACGCAGCGCTCTCCATTAGTGGTTTGGATACTCATTACTCTCAATACAGTCCCCGATAAACTTAGCCATCACTTTCGCCTCCGCAAGCTTGGTGTTACAACGTAGGTACCCATTTAGTGCCTTCAACACCGTGGGATCTTTGGACCGTCTAACTTCTCTAAATTGTCTTATTTGAAAAGCGGAAAGCTGACATCGACCTCATTGAGCCAATCCCCAGTAAACTCATTAGGAAACAGTTCCACTGTGGCAAGTGGCGAGAGCGCAGCCGGGGAATGTGTATAAATCTCTTCGGAGTGAAATGTTATTGTATTGCATTTAACTCACACCATTGCCGCAACTTATCACAGTTAAATCGACCAGGTTTACGCCTAAGCACAGTAGTATAGCAAGTCTTGCGAGTATGCCGAAACGTGAATGAAGCGACAGCGTGAAAGCAACGAAATTACAAATGAGGGAAAAAAGAGTCATTGGACAAGTTTTACCGAGGACAGAGCGCGTACAGGCAGCACAACAGGCAGTTTCAGCAAGCACTCAATTCGGCTGAGAAACAACCATGAATGCCCCGCGCGAAGCTCGTGCGTGCGCCTGCGGTCAGCCACCGAAGGAGGCTTTGAGTCCTTGTCACACTGGTGCGGTGTCACCCGCGGCTTAAGCCATCGAGTGAAAGGAAACGTGAAGCGGAATGAAGAAAGCGGCCAGCACCGGCGACCATGTGAGAGGACTTTCATGCGTGCTTCGCAGGTTATGGCATCTAACCCCAAGCATGCCCGATATCAGAGAGTTTGAATCTCACATAAGTGAGAGCGGTGTAAGATTTAAACTTCGTAGATGTCCTTCCGCCCGACCTTCGGTTCCTTGTAAGACAGGGTAATTCCGTGTGCTGGAGTCCCCTCTAGCGTGTCCTAATAGTTGTACAATGCGCCTGATTGTTTGTAATTCGAAAACAGATGGTTGTTCTAAACTGTGCTGACTTCCCTTTGTTTTCCTTCCCCTAGTCATTGTTGGCATGACCGGCCTACCCGACTACGACTGTTGTTTGGCGGCGCTTAACGCACGCCAGACTCGGCTATGCTTACTGTTGACAAGTTATCAGGACCGCTTAACCGATACGTTTTTCACAGTCAAAGCATGAATCACAAATTTGAGTTTAAATTTGGCAGTCGTCTTCGTTAAGGCGACAGAATTGATTTAAAGCCTATGAATTTTATGGCCGCAGTTGACGACACTTACATAATGGAGGCATCACTCAGGAAAGAATTTTTCTGATATATTAGTAAACTATGTGCGCTTAGTAGTTTTTCCATTGGAAATAGACTAAATTGAGGCGCAAAGGAGCAAATTATCTTTTTTGTAAAACGCAAACGTGGGATTATTTCTTTGAGCGGTCCCGATATGTGCAGATGTCAGGGTGACATTGACGTTTAAGCTTTAATGTACCTTGCCTGTTAATTAGCCATTGGACGTCATGTTAGCACGCGTGTGGGACGTTCACCATACGGGGTAGCTCTACTACCGAAGCCCGCAACACCAAAACTTTCATTCATCATTTGCTGTTAACTTTGTTTTATGCATGTGTATATAGGTGCCCGAGCGAAATGGAAAAAGGCAAATAAGGGCTGTCATTACTGCTATTTGCCGTAAAGGGCAGGCGAAAAATCTGGAGAACAACGTATTTTTGGGAATTTTCTACATAATCCATAGGACTGATATCACGTACGTCAGAAGGCAACGAGGAATGGGCGCCAGCACTGTCAACAAGGAGGGTTAATTTAAGTAATGGCTTAGCTACCTTCCCAGCCTACCGCAACATATAGAGTCAACTAGTGTTAATACAGTGTTCTGACTGCCCCGACAGACTACCCGCAGCAGTCGACGTAAAATCCGGCAGTTGCATACCAGGTGTTGCTAGACGTCTTTGAAGAGTTCACGAAATTCAACTGAAGGACAATGATTAGAAAACTCAGCGGACTTGGTTGAGTTTGAAATCGCAATAGAAGTTCTTGCCTTTTATAGGTTGAATAAATTTTGAAAAGTGCTCTTTATGTTGAGCAGTTTGAAAAATAAACAGGTACATAGGGTTCTTTTTCATAAAGAATACTGCAATGACAACAACGACTGAAACCACTAATCAGGTATTTATGCTAGAAAACGGGAGTTAGCACACCTAGATCAGTTGACGTCACGTTTGCCTGTCATACGTCCTTCTCCTATCATAACTACCCTTTTAAGTAGGTAATTTTCGGGAATCTTTTTTGTACTTTCATCCCTTCTGCTTAACAAGAACCAACCAATATCCAAACCACGCAGCGTGATCGAATACACTGAATTGGCCACTGGAATTTACTGTATTTGTCAGAAACTCATATTTAAAAAAAATAAATTGTCCAACAGAATTTCTACGTTATTATTTAGGGAGGGTAACGCGGGTGAAAACATGGAGACCTAAACTACAGACTTCTAAAAGACAGCAACATTATTTGTATTTACAGTTAGAAATCCGAAGAAAGGCTATTAGATTGTACTTTCTCATGAAAACTTTCTGAACTACTTCTGGCGCATAAAAGTAATCGATTTTCCTTCAGCAAGGTCCTTTAACTTGTTGAACGCATACCAAACGGAGATCAAATAGGTAAGGGCAATAAACGGCAGTAGTTAATATGCATTGACAGTTCGACTGCCGTAAGCGACGACGTCAACCAAGCATCCTGCAGAGAGGATATGGCACCTATGACCTGCACATGAATTAATCTATAAAGCCGTAAACTTCCGCAGGGCATATTGCACAGGCCATTGTACAAAACTCTGGATTTTTCTAAATTCCGCAACGCGCAGAATAAATTACTTTAAATATCTGACGTTCTTCATGTGTAGATTGCGTAGGGTTTATTACTGCACAAGATAAAACGGAAAAAGTTACGAATAACGAAAACCAACACAGGCTACTACTAAGTTCGATGACAATGTCGTTATTTAGTCCCCCGTATACATTCACCTTTTGAAAGTAGTGTGCTAAGATCCGAGACAAACTGGAATGGACGAAGCAATGACTCAGTCAAACGAGCGTTCACCCAGCATTTTTAGAACGCCTCATTTCCAGTGTCCTAGGTTTATAAACATAAATCGAAATATTTTGGCAATCGAATTCCCTGTAGTAGGTCACGCGCCGGTACTTTCCCTATTGGATGGAAATTTCTGATCTTGAGGACTGATAACGACAAACGTGTTTAATCTGACTTCTTCGATTACAAAGAACGCTGAACTAGAGCAATCGTAGTTAGTACTTTATAGACGACAGTAACTATTATGTGTGGTAATTACGTCTTGCCTCCTAGGAAGATATTTCACACTGATATTCCGGAGGACTTTATTATAGGCCAATTTATATGTGCGATTTACTTAATACGTCGGGTTAAAGTCAATTATGAGAATTGCACGCAGTCTATGGAGGAAAGAGATGTTTACTGAAAGGCAAGTAAGCATTCTATCCTATATTCAATTCCTCCAGGAATTGAATATAGTAATGCAACCTTAGTGTGTGTGATTCACAAATTCCGCAACTATCCTAGTACTCCAGCCACATACTTAAAATATAGTTAAATGATCCGGCCTGTCTCTAATCCCTACCCTAAATAGCTCGTTCCGAAAATTGAGATCCATCCAGGTCAATGCCTAGGATTTCATGCCCAGTCACGCAGTTGTCTTACTCGTACGATAACACAAGATCTTCCCTTCAACAGGTAAAATTGGAAAATTCGTCATAAAACATTTACTAGAGCTCACCTCCAGCGCCAGCCAGAAACATTGTCTACGAATCACGTCCAGAGCACGGTACTTTACTTCCAGTATAAAACCCTGACCTTGTTTAATGAGGCATCCGCTGAACAAAACTTGACAGGGAAATTGGCCTATCGGTCCGACTGGGAAGACACCGTCTTGCCGATCTCATCAAATAGTTGCGCATAGTTGAATACGCCGCATCGAGGAAGCTTTTCTTTTATGCATTATTTGTACTGAAAATAACTTTCCTAATCTTTGAGCAAAGGCGAATAATCTGTAGATTTTCTTTGTCTGACGACCAATAACAATCGCGATGAGCAACTTTCTACGTTAAAGGTAGTGCGCGTGTCATAAAGCCTGTGCTAGTGTGTAGCTGCTGCATCCGTTACTCTTTGAGAAGATACTGTCCTCCGCTATGGACTTTCAAATAAACTATTGATTCGAACGTACAAATCAAGCCAAATGATGGGTGGGACCATTTGTTAATCGGTCCAAGGGTATCAGGCACCAGGAGGCACATTTTAATCCCACCGCCCAACGACTGCATGCAGTCGACGATGACCATCAGTGCCAAAACAGCGACTGGTAATTACGGAACTGAGAAACCTATATGCATAGAAAAACAAAAGAAAAGAAGCCTGGGTGCGAAAATAAACAAGAGACTGAGGGGGATGTCCAAACTGCACCACTGGAGAAGAAAAACTGACTGCCGAGAAGAGCGCCCTGGTAATTCTAGGGAAACCGGTCACAAACTGATGTTCCCGAGGCTAGTTTTGGTCGAATTCATTGCTTCTCGATTCGTCGAGTATTAGACTCATTTGAATCAACCATCGGGATTGGTGTATGTTTTGGGGTGAAATTAATCAAGCTTAAGGTCGAAAAAGTTTCATTTGCTTTTTGTGGTGCTTTATAAAAGTTATATTCTTTGAAAGGTAGTCGAAAAACGCTTTAGCACATGCTTTGTACATAGGATGATAACTGCTTCCGCCCCCTATAGAGGCTAGATTTTTCGACAAAATCGAGTGAAAATACGGTAGATTTAAGGATTGGCAGTTATTGTAAACCCAGCGAACCAACAGAAATGAGTTGCATAGCGAAGGCGCTTGAGTGAACACAGATGTTAACTTCATCGACTGAGTTACTTTATATTTCCCAATTATCGCCGGGATGTTTGTTTCCGTGTGCGTCTAAGCGCGTACTTTATGATGTCGGGTCCAGCGTACACTCCGTTGCCCCAAACAGAATATGTCCATGATTCAACGCTCACAGGAGACATCCAACCCAACAAAGATGTATCCTTCTTTCTGCTTGATGATCGAATTTTAGGCGCCAGCTAGTCAACCTCAGCGGGTCTCCATATTCCATTTAGATTTTTATAAATCTTACTTCGATGTAGACACTAATCAAGTGAGTTTATCCTTATCCCTTGATTTTTCGCGTTCGTTTATACGACCCCTTAAAATAATTGGGTTAGTTACTTACTATTGTCCGTTTTCGCCCTTCTCTGTGGGGAAAACAGCTGTCGTTTAAATAGCTCCCTTGAATGCTTTTTCTGAAAACCCACAGCTTCTACTTGTGACGAGTCATTGTTCTTTTGTTAATTCGGCCTACAAGCTACAGTCTTTGAGTTTGATCGTCATTTACTTCAGTTTCCTCGCCTCATCTGTTCGCCTACGCGTAGACAGCACTCCAGGTCACCTACCCGTGTTCTACGGGCTGCGCTTCTGTGCCAACCCAATAAAAAAGACAAATAAGTGGCGGGCATGTGCCGAAAAGGAGTTTGACGCCACACTAGTCACTTAGTCTGCTTTCACCTTCAATGGGCTTCGCCGGCACTTTGATACACGACGTAAAGGGAAAGAGAACGTTAGACTTACCCTGGCCTCAATTTATCGCTCTAAACCAGCTTTTACACACTATCATTGTAATATAATTCCGGCGCTTTTTCATACAATTTTTACGGGGTGAATTCGTGACTTTGAAGGCGGCGGTTGCCGAGTTGACTTGGTCCTCTCGGCTAACGTGTACATTGAAGTGACTCCCGAGCATGGCCTTTATGTGATCATCTACCCATATGAGCTCCGCACCTTTAACGTTTAGTTTCTGTATATGTGGGGACTAGCACATGTGCCGCACTGGTTCGGCAACTCATCCAACCCGCCCGAGAGCTCATATTCGGATATAGAGAAATCAACAAAAGTATTATTTGAATCCTGTCATGTAGAATCATTGAGCACTATTACAGGTCGGACTGTGTACGCAGACGAGAGGCCGATCTTCCTGTTAACCGTTTTCATTTCATAGTAGCAAGCTCCATCCACATATAGTTATTCTTTTCTAGTTCCAAAATCCAAAATAATAGACGAGCTCTTTTTGGGTAGTTATCTTAAACTGTAGTAATACCCGATCTAGCCGGCCGCGATGATGTCGCAAATTGTCCCCGTCAAGGCGTCAAAGGATTCAGAGAGCTCGACCTATGCTCTTCTCCAACGACAAACACCGAAAACCGAAGGTTCAGAAACTGCATTCACATTTTGACGAATGTGACAAGCCTGGTTTTGAATTGGTCTCGTCGACTCCTCCAGCCGGGCAACGTCGCCGGATTAAGGGCAGCAAAACCGAGCTCCTGATACGGACGACGAAGAGTGTGCCGAACTACCATCCGTTTTTTTCGAATGGCCTCATATGTTCTAGCACTGGCCGCTGCGAGTGCGGACTGTCTCATTTCAGGCGAAGCCTCGATACTTCATTGGTAGGATAGTCCTCCAGTAGCAGTCACTAAACACATCTAGTTTTTGCCCACGCACACCACTCAGCATGCACAGCCGTACTGGAGAACCGACCGGACGAATGTACGGTATACCCGGATTTTCGCGTCGATGTCGCGTCGGGTCGATAGTCGCATCCTGGACATTAAAAAAATCCCACGAGCATCATCGATTTGGGAACCAACGTCATCCTTACTCTGCTCATTCGGCGACAACCTCTCCCGGGTCATTTGAAACTGTCTTATTCAAGTTTACAACTATAACTCGAACGGTTAGGAGAGATAGTTAAGAACCGTGACCTGCGCAGCCACAGAGCCGTAGTAGGCCTTGATGCTGCCGATGGTTTTGTCCAGCACACCGTATAGTTCCGCAGGGACCCACGATGGACGGGATCGAACGCTGCTGCGAAGTTAACATGGCAGACAGGTGCCGGTTTCAGGTAGCCTTTGCGAAATTAAAAATGCGTCGCGGTGTAAATATATTGCCCGCGGATCAAAGTCCGACTTGGTTGGGTTTCGTTCCCAAGTCACACTCAGCCGAAATCGCTGGATACTGACAACAGCGAAGGCCATCGTAACGTCGATGAGGCTTTTACCGCGATAGTTCTTTCACATTCCTTTATCCCCTTTCTTGAAGACTGGCCCGAGGATTTGTTATCGAAGTTGAGGTGCTCCAGATGCCCACGTCAGCGCTTCACTTTCATCGGTTTGTCGGCCACCATTTACATCGCGAATATTGACTTATGGCAGAAGGCCTTCCGTTAGCTTAGCCGATAATTTGGTCGCATTTTCGCGTCTTCCCAAGGATTGAGGCTGCCAAATATTTCTTGCAGTCATTAAGGACCGCGTTTGCTGTCATTTTTCGTGGTTAACGGGAAATCGTTTAGGGACCTGGTTCGTGCTGTCTGAGCAGACAACTGCGAAGTACCTCCACTGGTCCAGTCGTCGCGTCGCCTCTGGGTTAGTCTAAGAATTCTCTTAGCTGTCTCGAGCTGAGGATCACTAGCTGCTACCTTCTCCTTCATCTTTGGTCGCAAAACGTTACTGGATGTCTGTGCCCAGAGCGTCAGCAGTGGTGGGTCGTCGTAATTTAACGGTATCAAGTTATCTTGTATGTGACGGCTCTGATGCGCATGAGCGGTGGACTTTTTGCGTGGACCGACGAGAACAGGGCATGATCCATGAACGTTTCCAATTTTAGCACGCAACCTTGATCCGCCATCGGTGACTCCACTGCGGGACCTTGAACCGGACAGAATATAATCGATCTGACTGGCCGTCTTGCCGTCACTTGAATACTAGGTTAGCAGATGTTTGCGGCTTTGCTGAAAGCACGTGTTGGTTACAAATATCCGGTTTTGATTGACAAAGTTTGACATTTTCTCACCATTGTCGCGTCGAGATCCAAGCCCAAAGCGACCGATAACGTGACTGTTTGAAGAATCACCAGGTCCAGTCCGGGCACTCCAGTCTCCGCCAACAATCAACATATCACGGCAAAGGAGCCCTTATAGTAACTTCTCCAACCGACAGTAGAAACTGTCTATCTCGCTCATCGTCAGCTGATGTTAGTGCATATATGGGCATAACAGAAATGTTTGTAACATGACTCTTCAGTCGCACGCAAGCCACTCATTGACCGATTCTCACGTAACTAGTGTATGGTTCACTTGTTGCGAAAGGGCGACCGCCATACCGTGCCTAAAGAAAGAGTCGCGTGGGCTGTTGTGGTGTAGTGTGAAGCGGGAATTAACCCCGGAGATCTCAAATTCTTGGGCGTCATGGTCGGGGATTCAGACATCAGACAGGCGGCAGACATCCACGTTTTTTACTCACAATGACTGCGTTCCAGCAGATCTTGGTCACTAGAATCAAAGAACGTTCGAACATTCGAGCATCCGGTACTGAGTGTGCTCCTTAATTGGGTACTTGAGCTCGCATACTATTGGCCTGCACCACTGTTCCTTGGGTCGGGGAACGCGTTGGTTCCGGTGGGCGCCATAGCATGGATCTTAATTCTTGATTTGCATATTTCAGCGGATTTCTAGGGGATTTTCAGTACAAGCAGATCTCCAAAAGCCGCTTTGGTTGTTTGGTCGAGGTTGCCTTCTCAAGAGTTCTGACACAAGAACCTGACTGCAACGCAAGTAAGCAGGTTAACTTTTTTAGCGGCGGACCAATGTCGCCATATCGCAGTGTCCCCATCAGGCGTTGCACACTTTATTAGCCTGTCGACGTGCCATCCCTCAGCTCACCCAGCGCCCAGGCAGCGTTGTCACCGTTGGCTCGCGAGACCATGTGTATTTCGTACCTAACCGAAGGCCTTGCCGCTATCCGCCGCCTGTGGACGCACCGGGTAACCAGCAGCTAGGCTAACCAGTAACGCGTCTTTCCGGACCAGGCGCAAAAGCTAATATCGCATCATGGCAGTGGGGCAAATCGGATACTTTACACCCTGTTTGTTTCTAGTGGTTGGGGCGAATGGATTATAAGACCAATTCACCTTCATAATTTGGTACTGTATCTTCTTACATCCATTAGTTGAAGGGCGTTGGCCGGCAGTTTCCCTCGGCTTAGTAACTAGGGTCTCTCCTATATGATCTAGAATTCGCAATAAAAACAACTTCTGAAACGGTTGCAAATAATTCATAGGGTCAAATGATTTTTTGTTCTATACACTAGAGTAACTTTGACCCAACTGTGAAAAATCCGGTGGGAGGCACCGAGTTTTTCACAGTTTGGTCAAAGTGAATGATTTGAACTCTGCCAAAACCTCTGAATCATACACTAAAGTCAATATTTGAATCCTTTGTATACAGAGGACGAATACGCCATTGTCGGTTTCTTTTCTGCAAGCCCCACATAATGTAACCCAAAGATGCCTCGCAGTTTTCTAGTTGATAAAATGCAACTCGAAGTTAACGACAGTTTCTATGCTAATGCACATTGCGCGTGATGTGGAAGTTATGTTCGCTGGCCTTCACGAAGTAATAAAAAATAGACATCAGTCTTCCCCCTGCACTTTTTATGAAACATGCGGTAGATTTGCTTTGTCATGAAATGTTAGCCGAAATTCTGAAGTACGTTTTCCATTCGGAAAGATTACTTAGGTAGGGTTGTAATATTAATTATCATGCTGCATAATTGCAAGATATTTCAGTCACGTCAGTGTGCCCGCTTTTGAAAGACCTTCCTTTCGGCGGTCTGCAAAAACTACATTGTAAGAGTGACTGCTTAAGTAGTATCAGTTTCTTCAATCAATTTTCTATTCCTTTGAATATTTGACTATATTCTGCATAAAACACGCATAGAAACATTCTTCTTTGTACTTATTTGGTAACTAATGACATCTACTTCAAATTTTTCTGCCCGGAGAAATTATCTTTCAGTTTTTTAAATAGTTCCTAATTATGCTATTTTCGAAGCCAGAATCCACACCCATTGCACAATTTACAAGTTCTATATGACGTCTTCCTAACAGCATAGAGAAATGAGTGCTATTCCTTTGACGAAACGTGTGCAGCACGCAGTTTAGGAACCCAAACGCTAGTGCAACGGTAGGTTGGGATAAGAAACTGGCAGATACTCTTTCCTCAAGTAAACAATCTGGAAACGTAATTTGCTACCAAGTCAGTACGAAAAAGACTATTTTTGTGCTTGTTTTCTATAAACTTTATTTGCACTCATAAGGGCATTGAAAATCATTAAGAGAAATCCATGCCAATAAAGTCGCCTTTTTACGGAGTGTGGTTTTTTTAAACGGCCAAGAGGAGGTTCATTCAAACGACGAAATCCTGGCCTGACTGTAATATCATAGGATTGATTAATAATGCTACAACCTTACTTGGGTAATTTTTTCGAATCGAAGACATCTTGGAATTTTGACCAACACTTCATAAGGTAGCATATCTGCGCCTACCGCTTAAACAACAGTAGTCCTGATTTCCGCGAAACCCTGCGTTTGCCATTTTAAAACATCAGATTTAATCGTCGATTAAAATAGGCGTCGGATGAAGCTTAAGAAATGTCAGGGCTTCTGCAACGAGTACGCAGTTTTTTCGAAGGATTTTACTAGAACTGATGCCTTGATTGATTCACTGTGAAACTCCATACTGCGTTTTTAATTATCGCTCTGCCAACGGGGTCTTACTTTGTTTATCTAGGTGTTAAAACGACTATGTTCCTCGGTTTGGCCTTTTTCCAAAGAATGCTCATTGTACAGCTCCCTTCAACCTACGCCTGATCTCTATGGACCATTTTGGATCACAGTAACACTCATATTTTCAGTAGCTTTTGCTGGAAGCATCCGCGAGTACCTTCTTCTGCGAGATAAGTCAGCATTGTCCACGTTCAACTTTATGCGAGGTGAGCACCTTCTATACTTCGTTGTTAACGCTTCGCAGGAAGTGATGCACGTCTTTATTTTGCACGAAAACCTGTTTTATAATGATCCCAATACTGGGACTACAAGAAAGTTTGTTTAGCTTATGCTCCGCCCATCTGCCAGGCATTACTCTCTCCAGGTCGTTTTTTTGCATAAATACTGATTTTCAAACTTAATGATATTGGGTGGTCGATGTGGTCACCTGTGCCGTCTGGATCTCGGGTGATTCGCTTATCATCCCCTACCAGCCAAGCAACTCTAGTTAGCGGTGATGAACGAGGTAAATGGGTTGATCCAGTTAGAGTCGAAGCGGACATGTTCACTAGATTTCTCACTGATAATCAATTCACATTACCCTTTCCTCGATGGAGGCCTCGTTAGCGTGTGACTTTGTCCTCGGACGCATCTCACACCGATTCCAGACGGTTCCGCGACATCGAGCAAAGGTCGCCCTGGCCTAGTTGAACTGATGCTTGATTTAATCCTTACCTTGCATGCTTCTTAGGAACTTCAGTCGAAATCGTCAGAATCCCTTTAGTGACTCGGAAGCTTTGCCGTCTACCATGACCAGGCAGATGCCTCAGTGGACCATGCCTGTTTTGCAAATATTCATTCTTAAGCGCACTTTAACTGCCTTTATAGCGCTGCTGTGCACTGCATGCTAGCGCAAGATCACCGGTGTATTCGTGATCCGTAGTCCTTCAACCCGTGTCCCCTGCCCAGTGCCTGTTGAAGAACCATTACACCACATGTTCACAGATGGAACTCTAATTTTGCCTTCAACTACCCCTCTCACTGCCTCGCTGTCTACCACTACGGAGTTTCCAGACAATCCGGTAGCGACACCAGTTTGTCCGACCTTCTAGCTCACATCTAAAGACCCCCTACCCTGCCAGTGACCAGAGTCCTCCGCCCTTCACGTAAGCCACAAACTCCGCTGCAGTTGGCCATCGTTGACTACGACGGGCCAGCTATTGCTAATCCTATCCGGGCTTCCAGCCCTTGACTTCGGGATTTGAGACGGAACTCTCGAACTGCCCAGCCGATATGCCCCCGTCCTTTCTTTCAACATCGATGTACATGGTTGGACTCGAGGCAGAATCATGGTCGATTCGTGCTCGTACACAGCCTCCCACCTATGGCATCCTGAATGCAGTATCTCGCAGCACGGGGCAGCGTAGCTGTAACATACCTACCTCATAATTCAACACATCATCCTTGAGAAGCGTTAGTTTGTTCCGGTCAAGATTCGTCAGCATGTTTAACTGCAGGGGTACACACATGTAGGTATATACTTCAGGTAGATACACTCACAGTGATTGGCGTGCTCCTGCTCTTTTTGGAGTTTTCTACGGTTAGAACATGCCCACCGCACCAAATTCCCGATTACTGTGTCCTTCGTCATTTTATGAATTGGCATTGGTAACATTCATGTTCTGTAACAGAAATTTAATCTTCCTTACAATTGGCATCTATTTGAGATTTGCTTCGTATATTCAACTTTTCCCAAAGCCTTTCGAATACTGATCGTGCATGTTGCATGAAATCGTTTTCGCTACTCTTATGGCATACCTAAGAGGCAGGCCGACATACTTCATAATCACAGTAGATATTCAGCTTCACGCACATTTGTGTGCATGTGTAAGATAGTCTCTACATTAGTAATTTGATTTGTAAGTATTCCATAGTTTGATCGATAGCCTACTGTTCATTTTCTTTGCATATAAAATATTTTTCGATTTCGTCAGCCTTATTTCGTGGACTCGTCTCGGCCAGGTCTCCGTGTCCATATTCAGAAAATGTTCTACTGATTCAAAATAAGTAGTCTTTTTATTTAGCCTAGGGGCAGCCGAAGTCGATATGCTGTCGCGTAGTGCCGTACATAGCTGGTTTGTCAGAAAGCTTCGCCAGACTGGTGAGCGAATTTGGGATTGACGTCGCTCACAGACCTGAAGCAACAATCCGCTGGCAAATCATGCACCCTAAGGACCCGATTCCCATAAATCAGAAATCGGACGTTATTTACTGGGTAGACTGCAACTGTGGTCAGGCCAGTTATGTTGGTGAAACTGGCAGACAGGTTCATACGAGATTGCACGAGGATGATTTGGCTGTGAGACGAAAGCATCAACTTTCCTTGGTAGCCGCCTACGCCTCCTCGCCAGGTCAAGGCTTTGACTTTGAGCGCGTAAGAATACTGGGCCAGTCAAACGATCGAGTTACACGCCTGCTGCAGGAGGCCTGGCACTCAAATGAGGAACCGGTCAGTCGACATATTAATCTTCCAATCGCATATCAAGTACTGTGTGAACAAATCAGCAGCGCAGCTGGAGGTCACCCCTGGCAGAGGCGAATTAAATATGCGATGAGTTTTACGGCTTTTCATTCCTTGACGATGGGCTCGCGTGAGAGTTCGGAACGTCGGACAAATAAACAATTGGTCCCAGCGATCGGCTTCCGGTCTTTTTCTATTCAATTACCTGGACCGCGCGACTAGTAGAATGATGTAAATCAGGTGGTACCGACAAACAAGGGAGACCGGAATGGCCATTTCTGGCTTATTAGCCGTCATCGGCCAGTCATACCCAGCCCCAAGTGTGGTTAATATCGGCTAATAAGCCAGAAATGGTCATTCCGGTCTCCCCTGCCTTTGTCGTTACCACCTGATTTACAGCACTCTACTACCTGCGAGGGTTCTAGTGTGAGCCCCAAGGCACAACGGAACGAGCATGTTCCGTAACCCGATCGGTGAGCGCCCACTGTCATAATTAAAATTCCCGATCACAACCAACAGGACAACGAGCCCGTGGCTCAATGATAGAGCGTCAAACTCCATGACCAAAGATCCCCGGTTCGAATCTCAAGTGATCCACACTTAGTGTTTGGTATGACTGGCTGATGACGGCTTATAAGCCAGAAATGGCCATTCCGGTCTCCACTGTCTCTGTCGGTACCATCTGATTTACATTATATATATATATACGGGCTGGCGGCCCGGTGGGTAGAGGCGAGTTCGAGGCTCGGGTGTTCCACACTTCGGGCTTGGGTATGGCTGGCTGAGGACGGCTAATAAGCCAGAAATGGGCATTCCAGTTTCCCCCTGTCTTTGTCGTTAATACCATTCCGCCTATATATATATATATATATATATATATATATATATATATATATGTGCAGAATAGCGTTACCGACAAAGAAAAGGCCGTCGTCAGCCAGTTATGCCCAACCCGGTTCGGTCCATAATCTTTAATAACAACCTACCTGTCTGCAATGTGTGTATGGAAAACTTCTCTGTCTGTAACCTTTTTTTCTCTCCCATGTCTATGTCCCCTTTTTCTAAATACTTTCTCATATATTACTTTTTTAAAGTGACCATCACTTCGGCCCTCCTGCTTACCTACTGGTGCATCGTGCCACTTCTCATTGCCTGTGCTGCCTGGTTCCGTCGTCAGAAGCAGGATCCAGGTACAGAACAGCTGGTGGGAGAAGACTCCACTGGTTTGAAGATGGGCCAGCTCTTCACAGACCTTCTCGCTGTCTACGGCTACTCTCTGACAGCATTTGTGCCTTGCACCGTGAGCATCCCGTCTACATTCCCCTCTGCTTCCATTTGTTTAAGTTTTCGATGTTTATTGACTGATACTATTAATAGTAGGCTCACGCGTTGCCAATAACGGGGACCACTGGTGCCCCAGAGAGGACACGAAATAGCGATTTGGTGAGCTGATTTTCGCTCCATCTACTTCGCCGCAACTAGGATTCCGCGAGCAAAGACAACTAGATATGGGCGCGAGCGCAGCGGATGATGGGCTTAGTCCACGTGTAAGGCGCACGTTCTCTGCCCAATCCCCACACAGGATCAGTCGTCAATGATCGGGCCTGGAGTCGCACGCACTAAGGGGCCGTTGCGTCCTGACCCTCAGCCCTAACTAGGACCGAGTTACCGCGTCGCTTGGGCAGCTCCAAAGCCACCGTGACCAAAACGTCATCATAGGGTGGAAGGCGCATTTAGTTGTCATTAGTTCGGGGTCGGGCGACCTCTATTCCCTGTGCCTACGTCCCGTGTGAGTCAAACCAACTGGAGGAGCTAAGATTGGGTGCTGCAGCTAGCCTGGCGGGAAGCTTCCTTTGAGTGCGTGTCATGTTTAATATTGAAGCATGTGCTCGGAGCACATAACGTCTTAGCCAATACCCACATTTGTCGTTCTTCCTAGAACCGTCTGCGTTAGTGGAATTTAAATGATAAGGAGTAGGTAAAACAGTGGAAAATCGTTTAATTTCGACCTGTAATGATGTTTTCTCGCTAAACGCCTGCGGGGTGGCACACTATTTCCCGGGAAATGTACAATCTTGCATTGCCTTATGGTGATGTGTGATTGTCTTGATCACTTTTAGACCGATATAACTTTTAGTCGTTTTCAGCTAGCTCCGTCCGTTTTTCATAACTGGATAAATTATTCCAAATTATTCAGCAAACGGGGAATCTGGTTTTTGAGACCGAACTTCCCAGATCTGACTGTGATTTGAATGCTGTCTTCGCCACCAAGAGGGAAAGTTACTCCGTCATAATCGATGATGACCGATATCACCAGATGAAGGCTGTGGATGGGGCGATTCATCTCCAGAAACGCGGTGGTCCTGATCCCTCGGGATGAATGAACAATCCTGTTTGGCCCTTGTGTATCCAAGGGTATCACCTGCTATGTACCCGATCGCAACCGACAGCACATTGATCCTGTTGCTCAATAGTTAGGACGTTAGACTTCTAACCAACAGGTCGTGTGTTTGAGTTTTGTGCGTCGCATACGTAAGGCCTGGGTATGGCTGGCGAATGACGGCTAACAAGTCAGAAATGGCCATACCAATCTCCCTTGTCATTCTCGGCAATGCTATCCTGCCTATATTACGCTCCGCAATCCGACTGCTGTCGGGGTTCGAAAGAAAACCCCAAGGCACAACGGGACCAGTGAGTTCCGTAATGCGATCGGTGAGCGCCTCTCTGCCATCATCACCTGTTAGTAGCCCTGATATCCCTATAGGCTGTTTGACTTCCTGTGTTCTTTACCTGTATGAAAGCCATTAGAGTGTTCTCTTCTTATTTTAGCTCCTTCTCCTGATACCCTCCTTTGCCGCACAAATGACAATTCTTGTCCTGGCTACCGCGCTCTCTTGCAGCGTTTTAGCCACAGCCACCTTGAAGACCTTTCAACATCACAAGAAACAGGTAAATTTTCGCCCTTGTGCGATGCCCGGTTTGCCTTCGCCAGTCCTAATGTCGGGTTGGTTTTCCCTAGCTCTAAGGGCTTTGTGGGCTAGTGCATGTGGCTGCCTTGTAGGTTGTACTCCACATATGTTTATACCGTAAGCGTGTGCTACTGCGTCAGTAGTATGCCGTTCGTTTTTCCAGATCTTGTTTTGCGTCTCGTGCGTCTCGTGACTTTTATTGTAACCGGCGCAAAGATGTATTTTCACAGCCAAAGCCGCCACGTCCTGGTGTCGAAGACCTGCTGGCAAGCGTTGCGTTTCCACTGTCGTCCTCTTGCACCTGCTTTGGATACTTTAATAACCCGATCTATTAGGGGCCTGCCGTCGACTGTGCTGCCAATCGATACTCCCTTACTCTATGACTGCCACGCAGCCCAACCATCAGCTTCAGTCAAGGCAGGAAAACTAATTGCAAGTTGCCTAATCGCAATCCCCTCTTCCGCATCTAGGAGATTTGTCTCATAGTCTCAGTAGAAACTTATCCCAACACTGCATTGGGCTCCTCATGTGAGCCAAAGATGGAGGATTGTCGGACGACAGACCAGCCCTTGGTTGCTGGGACGCCTAAAACAGTCGGCCCGAATTCCCGTCGTCATCCGCTGTGTTGATTTCGCATTTCTGTTTTTTGTATCTAGTGCATAATTGCTACAGTAGGTGGGCTAACTCATTAAATGTCAACCGAAATTCCGAAATGCGTTATCGTTTCGGAAAGATTAATTAAGTTCGTAAAACTAGTCAGCCTGCAGAATAATTCTATAATAGTTCGGATACCTCAGGGTGCCGGCTTTCGAATGAACTTTCTTCCGGCTGCATGCAAAACTCTAAAAAAATGACTTCTTAAGTTGTACGAATTTTTCATTGATTTTTTCATTTTCATTTTTTAGTTTTTTTTTCATTCATTTTTCATTGATCTTCGATGCTCCTAAAAGTCCACTTATATTGTTTGAAAAACATGCATAAAACCATTCATTCTTTCTCTCAGTCGGTAGATAATTACGTCTTCTTTTAATTTTATGCTCGAAGGAGGGACATAATTTGGTTTTAAAAAGTTTATAATTGTGGGACTTTTAAATACCGTGAAATGGCCATTCATAAATCGTCACGTCTCTGCATTTACCAATGTGGCTTGCAAATCTAACGATATGGATCAAATGCAATGCTAAATTTCACGAACCCCATGTGGTCTTCTCTCAATACCGTAAAGAAATATGTGGTTTTCCGTACGCGGGGAACATACGGCTTGTAGTTTGGAAACCGTGAATGCAAGTGTAACGGTAGAGCGGGTTCAAAATTATTCGGGAATTGGAAAAGTTTTTGAAAACCGAATTATACTCTTCCTTTGAATATAACATTGGAAGACGTTATTGTCCACCGAGTAAGTAAAAGAATGAATATTTTTATGTATGTTTTTCAATAAGAACAATCTATGCTACTTAAGTAGTCATTTTTTACAGCGTCGCTTTTGCGTGCCGCCGGAAGGAAGTTCATTCGAAAGCCGGCATCCTAAATTAACTGAATTATTATTGGATTATGTTGCATGGTGATTAGTTTTACAACCCTACTTAATTAACCTTTTGGAAACGAAGACGCATTTCGGAATTTCGGTTAACATTTCATGAGTTAGCCCACCTACTGTACGTACTGTCACAAGCCTGTATCCGACGGACCGTGTTTTTCGGCCTAAAACGGCTCCTGGGTTCAGAGTGACGCGCCCCCCCCCCTCCCCGCGGTCGGTAGCACAAAATATGGCGGTTCACTATTACCAGTCCTGCGCAGATTCTCTTTATACCAACCTTTTCTCTAGATCATATTTTATACAGCATATGTAGAACCGGGGCCAACTGCAGTGACCTCTGCGCCTGAAGCTTCGTCATCCTTCAGAATACGCGCCTGGGCCGCCTGTCGCTGGACGGATCGTGAGACGGCAATTAATCGATAGTTACATACCCCCCCCCCCCATCCTTGACTTGTTCTAAAGACGCAATGCGCGGTAGATATACTAACTCCATGAAATGTTAACCGCTATTGTGATATGCGTTTTCGACCCGAAAAGATTACTTAAGCAGGTTTGTAATATTAATACCATGATAAAAGAATTTAATTCAAATGCCGGTATCCTGAGTCGAGAACATATTTCGGAATTTCAGTTAACATCTCACGAGTTAGTCCATTTACTGTACGTGGGACCTGCCCTAGTGTTCTAATATTGATTTACGACACTAGCTGCTGCCGAAGGCCTTTGTTAGAATGCTCACGGACGAAAGGTCTTTACGCTCCAGAGCTTCTTTGCGGGCAGCCCTTCTGGTTCTTGCCTCTAAAGGCAGATTGCTAATTTGCTGACAGACACAACAACTGGAGTGTCTGGATGTGGATATAGAGGAGCGGACGCGAGAACGCCATTTGCAGGAAGTCGTTGTTTCCGATTGGACCACATCACCCGAGACAGAAACAACTGTGGGCATGGGATCCAGAGAACTTACGGAATTTATGAGCTGTGGTTGTCACTCAACTGTCTGGTGACCCACATTCATCTTGAGTTTTTTTTTCAGGGACCCTTTTGACCGGGACACTGTTTTCACCTCCTTTTTCTCCTTTTAGAACGCGATCGTCTTTGTTGTCATCGTCATCGTCCTGCATCTTGCAATGGCTGTGTGTCTGTCAGTAAGTGCACTGCAGGCTCCTTTGTGTTTAATTTCCTCCGATTTTCACAACTACTCCTGCCGGGGTGTTCCTTCCTACTGTTCGCCACATCAAACGTCCGGCCGCGTGCAGGTCGATGACAGTGGTGTGTGTTTAAATCGAGCCAAACTCCCTGAGTCGACGCTGAGGGTCGCATTACGAGAGCTGTTCCACCCCGATATCATTCCTTCTCATGGCAGATGGAATTTTTGATCCTTATTTGGGAATTCTTTCTGCTAGAAGGTTCCTGTTTCGATCTGAAGTCTGTCAGCATTGACGGTATTTCTATGTTAAACTGGCGAGCAAAGCTACCGATTTCAATTTTGGTTGTCGACGCTTCAAGATCGCGATGAAAGATGTTCATTGGTTCTCCTACCTCTGCAGCAACTCACCGGCTTTGTGTATGCATGCTAATTAGTGTCACTTGGCCAGAACTGACTGCCTGTAGACTGGCTCGTCGATGATGACTCAGTTTGAAGCAAACTTTGACCCTGAGTCGCATGTCTAATAATGGGTTTTCCTCTTCCAGTGATGCTGCGATTACTGTTATTAACATATCAAAAATAGCCTCTTTGGATGCCGTTAAATTTGTGGCAAGTTTGCTCGCAGAAACTGTTCCGGTTACAACTGGTACTGTTGCCTATCTTCCAAAGCTCCCCTCGATAAAGCATTGCAAGTTATTAAAGGAAACGAATGTCTACCAAACGGAATAACTTGTCTTTTTAACCTCCCAGTTCGTTGTAATCGACTTGTGGTTTACATCATTTTTGTTCGAATTTTGCTCTCAGCGTGGCATTATACACTCTGTTTGCGTCCTATACCGCCAAATTTAGCCACGCATGTGCGCTCCGCAAACCAAACTTCTTCCTCTTCCAAGCTAACGCTCCAAACTGCTTTCTCTAGCACGTCATAGGTGTTCTTTAAATGTTCTTCCTTTCCGTTCACACTTGACTGACCAATGCGTTTTCCGACATATGAGAGGGCGCTTAAAACTACCTGCTGGCTTGATTTTTGCAGGCTGCTACTCGACGACTTTTCATCTGTGGTAGGGGGCGCTCACCGATTGTTCTTACGGAACTCACTCGTTCCGTTCTGCCTTGCGGACTCTCTCGAGCCCAACCAGTCTCCCTTGTCTTTGCCGGTAATACCATTCTGCCTGTATCCTGCGCCGCTGTGCGGCTGCTGGTTGGGCTTGAGAGAGAGTCCGTAAGGCACAACGGAACGAGTTACTTAAGAACGATCGGTGAGCGCCCCCTACCACTGTATGCTCCCGATCGAAAACCGACAGGGCAACGCGCTCGTGGTCCAGTGGTTAGAGGCGTGGACTTCTAACTAACAGGTCGCGAGTTCGAGCCCCGGGTGTTCCACACATCGGGGTTGGGTATGACTGGCTGGCGACGACTAACAAGCCAGACATGGCCATTCCAGTCTCCCTTGTCTTTGTCGGTAATACCATTCTACTTTTCATCTATTTCGGCGTACATAATTCTCCCATTCGTCGTCTTATCTCCTTTCAAAGCCTTAAATTCCGTCTCCTGCTATTCAGCGAACTTTTCATCAAGGCATCGACACCGTACTTATTGCATTTGGCTTTACTTTTAGTGTAAAGATGCAATCGGGTGCTATTGACCTCAGTGAAATAAAGTCGCATATGTGCATTTGCCCAATCATCAGTGTTATGTAATTTAGAATTGTTACCGGCAAAGGTCGTGGACAGTGGAATAGCCATTTCTGACTCATTAGTTGTCATCAACGCAGTGATAACCAACTCCGGGTTCTGGGGTATATCAAACCATTTGCGTGAAATCATTGATGGATATTAAATGGAACACTCATACCGCATAAACCATTCGACTGAATTCGGTATTATTGACTTCTGCTCGCCATTCAACCGCCTTTGTGACTTCAAAAGGCAAGTTAAAATGCCCACTTGAATCCTACATTGATGGACGCTACTTTCGTTTACTTTTACACAAAACGGCTATTTCGCCTGCATTTCAGCTGGTCTTCTTCCACCAACCAAGTGAAGTGGCCTCCGCTGCGACCCCGCTCTCTGCAGCCACAGCACCGCCTCACAATGACACAGCGAGCCAACCAATCGGAACGAATCCAAAACTCTCCGAGAGCAAAAGCGCAGATATTCCGAGGGCTGATGGCAAACTGCAAAAGGGGGCAAACCCGCCAGCGCCCTAGTCATTGGGCGACTGCGGACATATCATCATCATCGGCTCGGAACTCTTTCACCCTCCCTCTCATCGCACGCTCTTTTCCCTAACTCTCGTTTTTTCCCCTACTTGCTATACTTTCCTATAAACTTGGCTGCTCTTTTTCTGCGTTATCGACAACTTCTTCGTAATGGCGTCTTTTTCTCCTCATGTCGGGACGCGCAATTAGTGCTGATGGTGAAATTCCCGGGGGCGCTTGCTGGTCGGTCACTGCGAGCGACTTGAGTGCATGAACGGCCTACCGGCTTCGTAGTTCGTTGTTAGCGGGTGTGGACTGCCATCACCAGAGCCGTGTGTTTGTTGCTAATGGCGGCGGCGGCGTCTAGGTAGGCTTGTCATCCACTGCGCCCGCCCCCAGTCCTCCTGGCTTTGCCTTCCCACTAAGACATGATGAGCGTGTGTATGATGATAGATTGGGATGGACGCCGCGCAAGTCTCCTTTACCATAAACTGAATTCATATTGACCCAACAGTGAAAACTCGGCGCCTCGGTGGGATTCGAACCCACGCGGTAAGGGGAAGGCATTAGTACAGCCAACGATCTAACCACTTGAGCTACGAGGCTCCGTCGGACGACGCGAGTTTAATCACATTAGGGTCGAGTTACCCGCCCAACCTACTGCAACGTCTGGAATCCACCAAATCTGATACAGTAAGTTGACTGCTCAGGCAGGATTTCCTAAGTAATTCACCTAGAATACACCAGGCTTACGTAATTCATAGATTCTGCCAAAACATCTGTGAAAGTTCCTTTTCTCAACTAACCGCGCTCCCCTTTATCAAGAATTGTTGCCTGCTGGTGCGCTAATTGCTTGCTTGCCGGCATGTTAGTTGTTAATTGCCGAAATGTCATCACCCGTGTTGCGCGCTCCCCGAGTGGAGTGACCGGAGGCCACCATGAGGCGTCAGGTGAGGAGAACAAAAGACCCACTGCCACGGAAAGAAGCATCTGGTGCCGTTTACTGGATCTGGTGCAGTTGCGGACAAAGCAACTACGTCGGAGAAACTGGAAGACTGCTCCGGACGCGAACTGCCAAACATGCGGCAGCGGCGCGGAGAAATGATGCTAATCCCAGTTCGCGGTCCATTCAACGAGATCCGGCCACGCATTCAAATTCGACGAATCCCAATATCTTCGACGGGTTTTCCTAGAAGATGGTTACCCGCGCAACTTCGTCAACCGGTGCATGCGCAAACGAGACGAGCGACAAAATCGCGCCGACCCCAAATTCTGGCGAGCGATCCCGTACATCAAGAACGTCTCCGAGGCCGTCAGCTGCATTCGTACGCCACTCCGAGTGGAGTTTTACACAGACCGGAGGCCACCTTGAGGCGTCAGGTGATGCGACCAAAAGACCTACTGTCACGGCAAGAAACATCTGGAGTCGTTTACCGGATTTGGTGCAGTTGCAGACAAAGCAACTACGTCGGCGAAACTGGAAGACTGCTCCGGACGCGAATCGTCGAACACGTGGCAGCTGTACGGAGAAATGACGCCAACTCTCAGGTCGCGGCCCATTCGACGAGACTCGGCCACACATTCAGGGTCGATGAGGTCGAAATTCTCGTGGGAGGGGATAATCGCGTGAGCCGTGAGTTGCTTGATTCATGGTTCACGGGGCCCCAGTCTACCAACAAGTGTAACGACATCCTCACTCCATATTCCGTGCTGAGCCTTAGATTGGCCAAAGTAATTGCTCACTCGGGGAGCGCGCAAGCCGCTGAGCCAGATGGCTGAGCAATCATCACGCCAGCATCCAACACGGGCGATGACATTTCGGTAATTAACAACTTACATGCCGGCAAGCAAGCAATTAGCGCACCAGCGGGCAACAATCCTTGATGAAGGGGAGCGCGGTTAATTGTTATAGCTATGTGGTAGCATGGCAACTTTCTGTGCACGATTCACCCTTTTCTGCCCCTGTCTCTGATGATGGATTCAAGTGAGAATCCGAACCGTCAGGCAGATAAAGCCCTTGTTTCAACTATCGCTTCTTCTTCAGATCGACAGCAAATGTGTAGGGTGACCAGCGGCCATATCACGATCGCCCCGCCATTTGAATTTCTGGTCATCGGTTACAGGAAATCCCATCTGATGATAGAAGTCGTCTGTGCGGCGTCTCCGTCGCGTGGTTCTGTTTCCTAATGGTGTTACGACTTACGATTGACAAAATGGCAACCCAATAAGCGGGAAACGGTTGTCCGCGGTTTGTGCTTGCGGATGACAGGCAAAAACGGAAAGTCCTCGACCACCGTTGCGTGGGCGCGTCGACCTTGTCACGGGTGATATTATGTGCATGTTTTGAACCTACTTGGGGAGCCTACTGCACCTCTGCGTCTCCGTCTGATGTACGCAGACGCACCAATGGCAGTCACTTTCCCGGCATGCTGTGACTTCGTATAGTACTCTCGTGTCTGGAAGGTGTATGAAATCGAGATTCCTTATGCGGATAGGCCCTGGGTCCAAAACACTGACGCCTGTCCTCGCGGAAACGAAGATGCGCCTCTCGTGCGTGCGCCAGCTTGTTTTAAAACATTCTTCGTGGCTTCTGTACAGAATTCAATATTCTCTGCTGGCATCTAACTTCTCTTTCTACGCCGGATCTGACCTGAAGGTCGTTGTGGCTAGGGTCTGTCCATGACTTTCACTGGTGCAACATGAAGCCGCTGCGACAACACTGAGAACACACTTAGTGCCACCCAAGAAAGATGGTGGAGATCGGTACAAGAACCACCTCCATGTCTTGACGAACTGTGTCGAGCCAGGTTTTGAACTGATTCCCACTTCGACGCCTCCAATGGGGCAACGGTGAAGGGACGAGGAACGTAACACAGTTCCTGAGGTGGACGATGGAGAACATGCCCGAACCACCTCAGTCGTCTTTCTCGGATGGCCTGAGTTATCCTCGCGATGTTTTCGCAGAGAGCGCGGACTGTCTCATTTGAGACGAAGTCGGTGAACTTCACTCGAAGGATGGTCTTCAAGCAGTGGTGGTCAAATACCTCCAGTTTTCGCTCGTCCTCCACGGGCAAAGTCCAGCATTCACAACCGTAGAGAAGAACAGACCGGAGATATTCACGGTACACGCGAATCTTATTGGCGATGGCCAGGTCACGTCGGATCCATAGGCATTTCCGAAGGCTTGCGAAAATCTAGCGGGCAGCATCAATTCGGGAGACAATATCGTCCTTACTCTGTCCATTAGGCAGCAGCCTCCCCCCGAGGTATTTAAGAATGTCTACTTCTTCAAATTGACAACCATCAATCCCGATGGGTGCCTTCTCCTGGTCAGGGATGCAGTTTGAAAGCACTTTGGTCTTCCCAACGTTCATGGATAAACCGACCGTTTTAGCGACCTCATTCACCCATGACACCACAGACAGCAGATCACCAAAACCTGAAGCAAGTAAGGCGATATCCTCGGCATATTCGAGATCCTTCAGTCGGTGTCCGGGTGCAAACTCAGCACCGTCACCTTCGTGTAGGGCCCTCCCGAGGATCCAGTCAATAGCATAGTTAGACAGAATGGGTAACAGGATACAACCCTATCGAACGCCAGACCGAATACCGAACAGTTGGGAAAGATTGTTCCGGACCAGAACTCTCGCAGTAGTGGAGCGATAATAGGCCCTGATCATGGCGATTATTTTTGCCGGTACACCATCTAGCGCCATTATCCGCCACAAGGACTCACGATGAGCGGAATCGAACGCGGCGTCAAAGTCAATGAAGCCGACGGCCGTCGGTTGATGGTAGCTATGGCGAAATTGGAGAATGCGCCTCAGGGTGAATATCTGGTCTGCGCATCCACGTCCAACACGAAATTCGGCTTGGTTGGGCCTCGTCCTTGATTCAGGCACAGCCTATAATCGCCTGAGTAGGACAATAGCGAAGATCTTAGCAACGTTGATTAGGCTTATGCCGCGGTAGTTCTCGCATCTTGTCTTATCTCCCCTCTTTAGCATAGGTACAAGGATACCTAAGCCCCAGTCATCAGGCGCAACCTCGTCTCTCCACGTTCGTTCAATCACCTCATGGAGCCAGGGCGCCGGAGTGTCGACAGAAGACTTGAAAATTTCAGCGGGTATACCGTCCTCCCTGGGTGCCTTATTCTTGCCTAACTTTCGTATGGCATCGATGACTGCATAGGTGGGGGGGGTCGCATGGCACTGCATAGGTGGGAGGGGGAAGAAACTACGCTGAAGAGGAGAGCAAGGACGAGGTAGGTTGGGTATCGAAGTTGTTCAAAGTGCGCACGCCAGCGCTCGATTTTGGCCGAGTCGTCAGCAATAAAGCCGCCGTTCACATCGCGAACAGAGTCACTCACTGTAGAGGGCTTACCGCTAACTTGGCGGATCAGTTGGTAGAGCTTTCGAGTGTCACCAACGTTCGAGGCTTGTTCCATGGAGGGTCGCTATTTCAGCTCGATATTGCTTCCGGTCATCCCTGGCCGATTTTTCCGTCATCTTCCGAAGTTGGCCGAAGCAGCCATCGTTACGGGACCTGGGTCGAGTCTTCTGAGCAGACAACTGCAGGGTTCTTCCGCTGATCCAGTCACTGCGGCGTCGTTGGGTGTATCCAAAGATTTCCTCAGCTACCCCATAGACTGATGTCTTTAGTGACGACCACTGGTTACTTCCTTCTCCGTCAGCTCAGGCCGTAAAACAGGTGCGGATTTCTCTGCTCGGGGCCTCGGCAATGCTGCTTTGTCGGATTTTTGCGACATCGAGGCGTCTAGGACGTGGCATTTTTGGCGCGGCTGAGAGAGAAAATTTAAGCGCGTACGAACGACGACATGGTTCGACCCATGGGGGTTACCATTCTCGGAACCACGCATCGATCTGCTATCGTGAACCCAGCTGCGGAACCTTGAACTGACTAGTATGTAATCAATCTGACTGGCCGCATGGCCGTCGTTTGAATACCAGGTCAGCTACAATTTCCATCCATCCATCAGAATTGCCAACAAACCTTAGGGGCACGGAGGTGGCTGTTTCTGTCCTATTAGGCGTCATAACCAATGCTATCTTAATCCATTTCCACCACAAGTTCAGGGTAGGTAGGTCGGTCGGGCGGTCAACTATCCTGGCGACAGCAGGCTAAGTCGCCGAGTAATTATCACGCCTACACCCAACACGGATGATGAAATTGCGGCGACTAACAACTCGGACGCGGACTGACGAGTCATCATCGTCTCAATTACAACCCCCAGCGGTGATCATGAGATCTATTAGTTATAGTACGCATGTGGCCCCACGGCAGCTACGTTCTATAAATACTGCAGCCTTTGTGCCTCCACTACCTTTATCTGCAACCGTCTCAGATGATGAGTTCGAGTGAGAATCAGGAACGTCAGGCCAATTAACTTCTTGTTCCTGTGATCGCATCTTCTTCTTAACACCATTTTCTTGACAGTAGACAAAGGACCAGCCCGGCAATTCAAGTAGATCGAGTGCTAGAATTGAATACCCAATGACCCACTGAGTCTCTATCCAAATCTTAGGTGGCCGGCACTTGGGGTTGGGGATCGCTGGCTGACGACGGCTAAAAAGCGACCGTTTCAATGTCCCTGTCCTTTGTCGACAACGGTTATTGGTGGACGCAAAGACTTGAGTGGGTATCGGACCCAGAGCTCCGGACAAAACAGAAATACCCACCTTCCCGTAATCAGGGTAGACCAGCTAGTGTCGCCCTAGTGTGTTTCACATCACATGTTTTTCTTCCATCTATGCTTTGTATCAAAACACAATCGTCGCCAGCGAGGTACTGCCTGAAAAAGATTTGGCGACCACAGATTCCCCCTCCTTTCCGTTTACTAAGTAGGCAAGTTCCGGCATTATGAAGAGGACACAGATGCGAAGCATTACTTTGCTCCAGTTAACCGTCAACCTCTTTTATTAGCAAATATAAAAAATAGCCATGCAAAAATTCGCAAGAATGCTGCGAAAGGGGATACAGTTAAAGCACCACATGGCTAGGGCATCAAAAACGAAGTCAACCACTGCGTGATTTCGTGGACTCTCCAACAACAGCCAAAGAATAGAGTTGTTGTTAGGACAAAGTTGAGAGATGTGTAGGTCGGTATGAAGGTAATCACTCCTCTACCGTTGGGAGCTGTGATCCACATGTGGTACTGGAGTACAAAGAGCTAAAATGACGTAGAAGAGTAAGAAGAAGCCTTTGTTGTATGGTTTTCGTGCAGATTTTCGGAAAAATGACGGTAAAATCCGAAACAGTAGGCAACTAAGGGGGACTAAAACTTACTTCTAGGGCAAATCGACCAACCCACAGGAAGAATTTGCTGTAATACCTCCTGAGTATCCCTGAGCTGTTTCGCAGGACAAGTATAGCGAGTATCTTAAACAGACAAAAGGACAAGCTTTTGCCAGATGTTATAACGAGACAAGTGGGAAGACATTTTTAAAACGCGCGCATGGTCAGCAACTTAAGCTGTCCGAGCGCTCAGGACAAACTGCGTACTTACCCCGACAGACATCGTGTATGGATGCAGATTAGTGTATTTCTTGTGACTTCCTGCACTCCTTACGCCCAAAACGATGTAGGTCTGTGGAAAGAAAAGAGCACAATCTAAAATAGACCACCGTTATCAAAATTGCGTAGCAAAGTGGCCATCTATGTCGACCAGAGTAAATCCCCAACCGAACCTCTCTGTAAAAATGGCTCCTTGTCGCCGATGTGAGACTGAAAATTTCCCAGCATGCCTGCGGCAATAAACATGTCCGTCATACGATCCACCACAGATGCATACAGTACTGACCACGATCAGCTAGACAACAATCCATCTCGATATTAAGCTGTCGTAACTTGGGACCCCGATAGCCACTTAGTATTAATATTAGTAGCACTGCTGATAATAACGGCTAACACGGAAGAATAGCAGACATAACGGCTCAACCGTCACGGGTGTCTTTGCCCACCGTGTGTCTCGCAGCACTGTGGACGCAGGGACTGTAACTTGTGCATGAATTATTTCATGGTGATTGTGGGCTTGCGATGTATCTACCGCACACCCTCCTTCCTCAACCAGGTGAGCAATGGCATCAAGAAGGATGGCAAGACATAAAAGTGCATCTGCACGCCCCATTCACGCCTGGTGCGCGCCTGGTGACTCAGGACTGTACCGAAACAGCAGAGACAAGACGACTGAGAGCGAAACTTCGTGGGAGTACCATAGAAGCTACATTAAGAAGAAACCATTGTCCGACCCCAAAGGAGGACCGATTTATCTCCTTATTTGGCGGCCTTCCAAACCAAGGCTTTTAACAAACTGTTATGATTTGGAGGCGCATCAAATTGTTTGTTGTGAGGAATAGGCGCTGGGTGCCGTGAGGACGCAGCGGTTCATTGTCAACCTTAATATCTTCCCTCTTCCAGACACCAGCCCACTGTTTGAGCCGATTAACCATCTGATGCGGGGATTAGGCGCAAGTGGCTGCAGAACATAACAGCCCATCTATGCGTCCCACAAATGGCCTGGTTGCACATAACTCCAGACTTTCACAAAATGGGGAGGGCCTGCTCGGATATCGCATGCGTTAGAATGCCATTGAGACTATATGGAGAAGAAGCCAAAGAACAGGCTTCTCACTTACGAGGTGATGCCTGTTTCGTGCCCCACGGTGGATGATATGGGACGGGTTTCTGCCCGGTGGAAGCGTTGAATCAACAGGGGGCCAGATCAGGCTTCCGCACGCGTTACTGGGCACAGCACTCATATTAAATGCCATTCATGGGTGGTGTGATGCCACCCTTGGGCGTAGGCTCAAGCAGCGCCAGCTCACCTGCGTCCGATCTTGTCTCCAGTCTTGTTGACCCTGTCTTGACGCGTCCCACAAACGGCCTGGTTCCACAAACAGCAGGAGGGCTAACTCATGAAATGTCAGCCGAAATTTCCAAAGGCGTTCCCGTTTCGAAACGATTAATTAAGTAGGTTTGTAAAGCTAATCAGTCCGCAGTATAATTCTACAATAGCTTAGTTACGTCAGGATGCCGGCTTTCGAAAGAATATCCTTCCGACTGCCTGCAAGGACAGTAGTCTGCGAAAAAGGACAACTTAAGTAGCATGCATTTTTCTCATTGAGCTTTGATGCCCTTAAAAACTCAATTATATTTCATGGAAAGCCTGCATAAAAAGATTAATTCCTTCACTCATTGTGTAGAGAATTACGTCGGTTTCCATTTTCGTACCCAAACGAAGGGTATAATTCGGTTTTCAAAAGGTTTTCAATTGTGCGATTTTTAATACCGTGAAATGGCCATTCATAAAACGTCATGTCTCTGCATTTACTAATGTGGCTTGTAAAGTTAACAATATGGATCAAATCCTGTGATAAATTTTATGAATCCCACCTGGTCTTCTCTTAATACCGTAGAAATATTTATGGTTTTCCATACGCGGAAAGTATATGGCTTGTAGGTTGGAAACCCTGAATGCTAGTTTAACGGCAAGTCGGGTCCAAATTAAATCGCGAATTGGAAACGTTTTTGAAAACCGAATTATACCCTTCGTTTAGGTACAAAATTGGAAAAAGACGTAATTCTCTACACAATGAGCGGAGGAATTAATATTTTTATGCATGCTTTCCATGAAATATAATTGAGTTTTTAAGAGCAGCGAACCTCAATGAGAAAAATGCATGCTACTTAGGTAGCCCTTTTTTGCAGAGTATTGTTCTTGCACGCAGTCGGAAAGAATTCCATTCGAAAGCCGGCACCGTGAACTAACTGGATTATTATAGACATATGCTGCATGATGATTAGTTTTACAACCCTACTTAATTAATCTTTTCGAAACGGGAACGCATTTCGAAATTTCGGCTTTTTCATGAGTTAGCCTACCTACTGTAACTCCAGACGTTCACAAAAAGGGGGCGGGGGGCTGCTCGGATATCGCATGCGTTAGAATGCCATTGAGACTATATGCAGAAGAAGCCAACGAACACGCTTCTCGCTTACGAGGTAGAGCCCGTTTCGTGCCCGAGGTGGATGATAGGGGACCAGTTTCTGCCCCGGCCAGATCAGGGTTCCACACGCGTTACTCATGTATTAAATGTCATGCATGGGTGGTGTGATGCCACCCTTGGGCGTAGGCTCAAGCCGCGCCAGCCACCTGCACCCGACCTCGTCTCCAGTCTTCTTAACGCAGTCCTGACAGGTAGGTGAGGCAGGAGAGAGTGTGGCAGTCCGCCATCACTATAAACTAATTCATGC